ACTGGCGACGAAGTGCCGACTTGTCTCGGACGATTTATTTATATATATTTCTTTCATTTCATTTATCTACTTCAGTATAGGGATGAAAGTGTTCTTTTAGTGTCGTTTGAAGTGCCCTTTCCGGTGTCATTTCAAGTCATGTCGGTGTCATTTCAAGAGCCGTTTGGTGTCATTTCAAGAGTCATGTCGGTGTCATTTCAAGAGCCGTTTCGGTGTCTTCAAGAGTCATGTCGGTGTCATTTCAACCTCCCGAACGAGACACTCAGAGCCGCCGCCGTTATGAATGTGAAATGATCATCATATTTCAAAAAAGGATTTATCCCAAAGACCAAAAACCTCATATTTCACATACTCGTTTCGGGGAGAGATATTTTTCATTTTCTTAAAGGTAAATCCGAGGCACTTTATCAAAAAAAAAAAAAAAAAAAAAGCGGGGGACTTAATTTGTTTTTGTTTTTGTTTTTTGTTGTTGTTTTTTTTTCTTTTTAATAATTTGATTTTCTGAGACTATGATAACTCGGTTTAATTATCATTACTCTTATACCTCAAGACATCCTAAGGAAAGTGTAAATCATATCATCTCTTCTTAAATTCTCGTGTATTCTGTGCAACTAAATATATTTCCGAACAATTAATTTGCAATTAGGAATAATAATTAAATCGCTAATGAATCCCGAACGTCGAAAGAATTTTAATAATCCCCCAGCGGTTAATTTCTACCCCCGTATCCGTTTCCCTTCCTTTATCTCTTCTTTTTTTCTCTCTCTTTCCTTTTCTTTTCTTTTGGACGAAGCCTAAGCCGATAAGAGTTAACGAACGCATATAACCTACAACTCTTCACTATAACACTTCACGTCTTGGTGTTGTATGGTGAGGCAGACATGCGAACTAAAGATGTTGTATATTTTGATGTTAGACTCTCACATTCGAACGTTGATTTGGTGTGTGTCTATGGTGTTATAGAGTGGATTAGATATATGTTATAGTGGGAGAGTATTGTTAAGGTTCGGAATTATTTGTGTTAAACAATGTAGTGATCTTCCAATGCAGTAATCTTTAACAAAAAAAAAAGACAAAAAAAAAATTAATTCATTATTGGATATACGTAATGTGTGGGTGGCTAGAACTTCCTTTGAAACAGGTAATGTATTCTATTCAATTTACCGAACAAAGGATTACCGGTTATTTATTAAATATATATTTTTTCCCTATTCTTTATCTCAGCTTTTTCAAACCCAATTCAAGCTTTTTTTACTCATTGTTAAAGATTCGCTGCTTAAGAATAAAAAAATAAAAAAATAGGTCATGCTGAACAGGTCAATCCGACTCTCGCTGAGACAGAGACAAATCGTCATAAAGCAGAGTTATTTTGAGTGATAAAACAAACATTAAATCAACTGAAGATGTTATATCGAAACGTCCTTTACATACCTCGCATTATATAATAATACCTCCTTAGCATTGCCATTTATACATTCGTCACAATGTATAACCGGCACGGATCCACGCAATTCACAACCCCCCCCCCCCCCCACTTTTTTTTTTTTTTTTTTTTTTTTTAATAAATACATCTCAAACCACTGCTTTCATGACCTTTGTCTTTGAATCAGCGAGTGCCGAAGACCAGCTACTTTGACCTTATCCTTGGTAAACCTAAGCCTATCCTGACCCTTTCCCCCTTTGCCACCCTTAACTAAAGGTCTAGACTGGCCCTAATGTATCTCTTCTTTTCAGCTGTGGAGACGAATGTGATGCATGTAACCTTATAAACGCCTATATAAACGTAGCACATAGACCCTCTAAAGCAGAACAGATCTGTGCTTGCCTGTCACCTAAAGAAAAAAAGATATATATATACAACATTTGTGTATTATGGAGATAAAGTATGGCCCTCTCCCCCCCCCCCCTTCCTTCCCCTCCCCTCTGCCTTTCTTTTCTTGTATATTCGCTGTTGGTTCAGACATGGAAGGATCTGAAATGTCCTGCCATGGTAGCATCTTGTTTGTTCAGATCTGGCTGCAGGACTTATTTTCCGTTCTTGCGTTCTCTCTCTTCTCATCTTCTCTCTCTCTCTCTCTCTCTCTCTCTCTCTCTCTCTCTCTCTCTCTCTCTCTCTCTCTCTCTCTCTCTCTCTCTCTCTCTCTCTCTCTCTTCTCTCTCTTTCTCTTTCTTTCTTTCTCTTTCTCTCTCTCTCTCTCTCCTCTCTCTCTCTCTCTCTCTCTCTCTCTCTCTCTCTCTCTCTCTCTCTCTCTCTCTCTCTCTCTCTCTCTCTCTCTCTCTCTCTCTCTCTCTCTCTCCTCTCTCTCTCTCTCTCTCTCTCTCTCTCTCTTCTCTCTCTCTCTCTCTCTCTCTCTCTCTCTCTCTCTCTCTCTCTCTCTCTCTCTCTCTCTCTCTCTCTCTCTCTCTCTCTCTCTCTCTCTCTCTCTCTCTCTCTCTCTCTCTCTCTCTCTCTCTCTCTCTCTCTCTCTCTCTCTCCTCTCTCTCTCTCTCTCTCTCGCTC